ACTTCTGAGAACTCCAAGAAACACAAAATCATTTGTGAAAAAATTGGAAACTGGTGAAGAATTTTGGTATCGTGGTATTCTCTCTGATTTAATGACTGTACTGTCCAAAGAATTAGAAAGTGTCTTATCTGATGTAATAGAAGTTGATGTATTTTTCGATGGTTTTTCACCTCACAATAGTGTACGACGGACGTTATGGCCAATTGCTGGCTCCATAGTTGGTAAAAAGGAAGTTTTTATTATAGCCATATGGTGTGGAGAAACTAAAAATCCATCAGATCTTGATATTTTTTTAAATGATTTCATTAACGAAACTCTAGAGTTAATGGATGGTTTCACTGTACGAAACAAACACTATAAATTAAAAATTAGAAATGTTATCGCTGATGCACCTGCTAGAGCATGGCTCAAACGTGTCAATCAATATGGCAGAAAATTCGCTTGTGAAAGGTATCTAAAAATTCTTACTTTATCTGAAACCATGTGTTTTTATGTAATAATCGTCATTTAAAATTTTTTCAATTTAATTATACATACATTTTGGTATTTTTTCTATCTATACTGAAATAATAAATTAATTCATTTTTATTTTGTATGGATTTAGAAACAGACTTTGCAGTTTTTAAAAGCATACAGACTATAGACACATGCTAAGAAACTTATTTAATAAATGCATTGAAGTAATTAATTAGAACATTGTGTCGATTTTATTATGTATACGTTTCGCCTTTTTTTATTTAGAAAATGCTTCAAATATGCTCAGTTTTATTTAACGTACAAATACTATTTAAATCGAATTGACTAATGATACTTAAAAAATACTATTATTAAAAGAAAATTTCAAAAAATATATTTTTTTCTTATGTATTTCTTATGTATGTTTTAAACGTTAAAAATATCTATGTTTTAAATTACGATGCTTCTTATTCTTTTTGCGTGTCTGACTTTCAAATTATAAGGAAAATATTTAAATCTTTTATTGCAATTGTAGGAATAATCTTTATAAATGTAAATCAATTTTCTTTCATAGAAAAGAAATGTATTAATAATGTCTTTTTTTACACTTATATGTATGGCATTATTGCTGATGTTGCTCAATTATTTATTATTTAATTATATTATTTATTATTCAATTATATTTATTTTATATTTTGATAATGAACAACTTTATTTAATAATAATAAAAATAAATACAAAAATATTTTTTAGAACATTTGAGATGTATTAGAATAAATTATACGTATGTAGAATATATTGTATTTATTTTTATATCCTTAAATATAGTTACCTCTTTTACAAAATTATGTATATAAAAAAATTTATAGAAAAATTTACAGTAGTGACACACAAAAAATAATTATCAGTTTAATTGATTTTGTAGTAATAAAATTGAGATCCCAGCGAGTAATGACTCATCGAATCGATGTCGAATTGATAATCATTTTTTTATGATTCAGAACTTTATTAAATAATATTTTAAATTTTCATTATGCTTAACTTATGATCATAAGTTATTATTTTAAGAAAAAAAATTATAGATATGAAAAAGCAATTCTTAATAGACATAAATCTATGATATATAACAATGTTGATTTACAATATTAATAATTTATTATACAGGTGCACTATTAAAGGGGAATGGTTCGGCAATCGAATAACATATCCTCCTGATAAAGAAGCACCATTGCGGACGGATGAAACTCTTTTTGAGCAAACTCACAAAGAATATCATAAAGGAGTAAGTCCTTTGGCTTCAAGACTTAATCTTAAACTTTTGAGTCAGTTTCCCTTGGAATCTTTTCATCTCTTTTATCTTGGAGTTATGAAAAGAATTGTTTCAAGATTATACTGCAGGAAAGCTAGCAAATACACATTGTCTAATAATATCATTCTTCATAGACGAGTATTGTAATTTCCTAGAGCCTTTTTTTCCGTCAGACTTTGTTAGGAGACCACGTAGATTAAGCGATTGGAAATATTTCAAAGGTACAGAGTTCAGAAGACTCTTATTATATGACAGTTTTCTAATTTTTCAAAAACTTCCTCAAGAAGTTTATCAGAATTTTTTGTTATTTGCTTGTGCTGTTCGAATATTGGCTGACCCTATGTTGATCAAAGACTATGCTACTGATGCAGATAAATTACTTAGATTATTTGTAGAGCACAGCTGTCAAATTTATGGATTGGTTTTCGTAGTATACAATGTTCATCATTTGATACACATTGTTGCGAATTGTCAGTTACATGGAAGTCTTGAAGAATTTAGTGCTTTTAAATTCGAAAGTTTTTTAGGCCATCTCAAAGACTTGCTCCATACGCCAGGAAGAACACTTTCACAAATAGTCTGCCGTACGATGGAGAAAGCTAGACTTTATCCTTCATTTGTAACAACTGAATTATCATTGGAACAATGTCATGATATTAGACCAACATTGGGTTGCCAAGGAAAACAATATAAAAAAATTCGAACATCAGATAAGATGTTCCGTTTGAAATCTGGCGATGCCTATTGTCTCACAAAAGCCAATGAAGTAGTTAGAATTGAAAACATTATAAATTGTACTGACAACATTTATTTCATTGGTAGAAGGTTCAGAGAAAAATGTGATCTCTTCTTTTATCCATTTCGTTCTAGTTGTTTCAATATATATATTGTTAATGATCTTGGATCACTAAGAAAATGGTGTTTAAATGATATTAAAAAAAAAGTATTATAGTATTATTGCCTCTTTCTGAAAAATTTGAAAAAGATTATGATCAGATCAATTCAAAGAGTGTGTGTCTTCCAATACTTCATTCTGAAATCTAAATATAATATATATGTATACATTTAGAGGAGTGGAAAGTGTTGTAAGTCATTTATTAATTATAATTTTGCGGGAAAGGTTTTTTTCAACGTACTTGTATAACATATAGACTATACATATAATGACCCTCAAATCTATATAGATTTAAAAAGATAACTTATTACACACACACACGCACGCGCACACAAATTGTTTTCACCCCTATACATATATGGTACATATGTAAATTACTATATTTTTAAAATAGATATTTTTGTATTAGATTTATTTTTAAATATTAGATATATTTTTAAATATTAGATATATTTTTAAAATAGATATTTTTGTATATAGATTTAATAATAAAAATAAAATAGAATACTAAAAAAATGTATCTGTTTATTTATTGAATAATTGTTATTGTTTACAACTACAAAATAGATTGCATGCAGTGCAGCTTGACAAATTTAAAAATATAAAATTTAATTAAATTTTAAGTTTTATGTACTTTATGATTCTTTCCTGAAATTTTTTGTGAATTATAATGTATCTATTTTTACGTTATCAAACTATTAAAATTTCAACGTGAATTCTACGTAAACTCTTCCATATAGATTTCAATACGTATAATCCATGTGGAATTACTGATGACATTTAACAAAAATAAAGATAGGAAATAGTAATGTTGAATTCACGTGGATAAATTGACATCGATTTTCACTCTATACAATCCACGTGGATTCAACATTACTATTTCGTATTTTTATTCCCGTTAAATTTCATCAGTAATTCCACATAGATTGTACGTATTGAAATCTATATGGAAGTGTTTACGTAGAATCCACGTTGAAATTCTGAGAAAAATTTATTTCGATTTGGCAAGGAAATGTCAACGTTGTATCCACGTGGATATTATGTGAATAAATTTTTAATCCACGTAGTCCACACAAAACACGTAGATTCCACGAGGATACTACATACGTGTTCTCATCGGGTATCTCCCGAATATATCAAGTACTGTTCAAAGGTTGAGACGGACGCGACACAGATCGGACAGAGTTGCACGCATTCCTCGGTGGGCAGCGTGTTGTCGCAAACTTCGCAATCAACCGACGTATGATTGAATCCTATTCGTACGTAATGTCTGATGGTGTAATTATACGAGCTACGGTCAAATGGGGATTTATCCACGTAGCACTCGCGACAGATCTGCGTTTTACTAATGTGATGCTGATAGAAGGAGGTCATGCAACAGATTGCTGTGTCCAACCAAGCTCTGAACGGGACGTCCGCTGTGATGTGGTTACGCCGCTCAGCTCGATACGGTGGACACATAGGTGCGAATGAATCGTACTTATTTAGGATTAATATTATTATCGATTGCAGTTCAGGAACGAATGCGTGTTTGCAAAACGTAGATAGAAAAGAATTTACTGTATGCACGAGGCCAGAGAAGGAAACCGGCAGAGCTATTCAAAGGACCAACGCTCGTTACTGAACGGATGACTCCCTGCTGGGCCGACGGAAGACGCCCCGTGGTGCAGGCGACGGTTAGTCTCGAACTTGTCGTGACACGTTCGTGCATGCAGGAATCTTCGTTATACCATGCCAACATTTACACATATATATATATATATATTGAATGTATGCACTTACCTTTCGATGATTTGATAGCGTGAAAGTGATATGTAGGCTCGTGCGGAGTCGATGGTGGCTGCAGCTTCCTTCCTTCTCGTAGCGTGGTTGCGGAAGGGTATTGGTTTCACTCTTTATTATTTATCGCATAAGTTTACTGCCGCGTTGATCGATTTATTATTATTAGATTTAGGATTCGGGCACTCGTTAAGAAACTCAACATAGGATATAAACAATGTATTTATTAACTAACCGATACAATATTTAACTAAAACTAATGTTAACTCTTATTTGGTTATCAAAAGAAACGTTTTCTAGAACAATGGTTTGGCTATGCGTTTTCACTAATGTTTAAGACAGCGTATTGTCGTAAAGGTTTGTCGCGCAGGACTTACGTCGCGTACGCGGAGCAGCACGAGGTGCTTTTATTTTGGATATCTCGCCACTACTACTTGGCGCGCGCTCGGAGCGGCGTCGGTTCTCCCACGCGCGGGCTACTCCCACGCGTGCGCTATTCCCACGCGCGAGACGGCGCGTCCTGAAGGGGTGCGTTCGGAAATCCTACTCGGAGTAGAAATCTTACCAACCGCCGTTCGGAAATTAACTCGGGTCGTACAAAACTGACTTACCAGTTGCGTTCGGAAATATCGAGTAAAGTCATTAGTTGTACTCTAGAGTAACTTTTTCAACCTCTGAATTTTCAGAGGTTAACAGAGTAAATCCCACTATTTTAGCGGGAAGTAGTATGGACGAAAGGATGGAACAAAACGAAGGATGGACATCAACGAGAGATGCTACTACCGTAGCATCTCTCGTTGATCCAATTGTGGGTCGTCACGTTCCATATCGTTTGGAAAATGGAGATCTAATTATTGAAAATAATATTCTCCTATTAATCGATCAATTTGGTAAGTACAAATTTTTTTATTTTCTGTAGTCATTCTGAATATTAGGTTATATTTTTGTATGTATTTAATTACATTTGAATTTAGAAAAGAAAATGTTAAAAAGAGACCGATTTCTGCCCGTGAAGGTGAAATAAATAAAATGAATAGAGTTTCCTTTTTGATATACATATTTTAACCTTCTGAATATGATAACGTTAATAAAAAATCCGAGGCGAATATAGGAAACATCTAAAAAATTGTGCATGAATATGATATATTTACTTAAAGTTCAATATTTTTGCTTAACTTTTTAGATGTTTCTCAAGCCACAAACTTTTTAATAACTTAATTATATTTAGGAAGTCATGCCTTACACTCTTTAAGAGATATCTCATGAATACAACTGCTATATAACATATACATAAGACTATTACAGTGTTTATGTAATATATAGCGTTTATATATAATGTTAATATAGCAATTATATTTGTTGAGATTATAAAATGAACTACAACTCAGGCTACAATTCTTGTTTTGTTACAGATAATTCAGTTTGTGCATGTCAAGCGACTCCAAATAATCTTATATTATTGGAAATTCTTCCTGTGTCTACATTATCTGATTCATCAGCTTTATCTACTACATCTGAATCATTAACTATTTCGATGCCTACTACATCCAAATCATTAACTGCCTCGATGTCTGTTACATCCAAATCGTCAACTACTCTGATGCCTACTACATCTAATTCAAAGCCACAGGTTATAAAGTCAGGTTTAAGTCAGATTACAAAAAATAGTACAAAGTGGTCAAGAGATGCTACACTTTTTTTAATTGATCAATGGAAAAAAAGTTCTTCTAAATTTACAAGTACAACCATTAGGAATGAAGAAGTCTGGAAGAATATAGTTAAAGAGTTGGAAAATGTCGGTTTCACTGGATATACTTGGAAACAAGCTGAAGACAAATGGAAAAATATACGGAAAGGATACATGAAAGTAAAGGATAATATGGGGGATAAAAGCAGTGGTGCAGCGAGAGTGACATGTAAATTTTATGACGAACTTGACGAAATTTTTAGAAAGAGTCCAAGTGTTGAACCAATAAGTGTTGCATCTTCTCATAAGTCGAATAATTTGCCAGCTGTAGACTCTGATTCCGATTCTGACAAAGAAAATTTAAAATATCAGTCAAAAAAAAAGAAAACTAAACTTCAGAAAGAGACTATTTCAATGTTATCAATCTTTAAAGATGATGCAAATGTAAGAGAAGCAGCTCGACAGGATCGGCATAGGGAAACGTTAGATGCTTTCAATAGGGCTATTGATTCTTATGAAGCTCAAATGCAAAAACTAATTGATAAATTGTGAGTTTATTTTTATTAAAAAAAACAGTTAATTTAATTTAACTTGTTTTCGCTGCAATATTGATGTGCGATTTAATAAGACTTCTTTGTATTGCTAGTCTTTACTACGAATGAGTAATTCTTGTTTTATTTTTATATTAATTAAAAGAGATTATATTTATGTGATATTACATTTATTAAAATTGTAGCGAAATTAAAAGTTTCTTTTGTTTATTGTTATATCTATTGTATAACATATTATATTAAGTTTAAGCTGCTAAGATTTGATAGTATTATATATGTGTGATATATTATAAAATGCAATATTATATTTAATAACTATGTTTACGAATGTACTTGTAACCAAATGCAATTTTTTCTGCAATTGCTTCTTATAAATACTTTTTAATTTTTTTAAATGATAAAATAAACCAGGCAGTCTACGTATTGAAATGTTTATCTGCTTAAAGTAGTTTTAGGTTTCAAAACTTGTTAACATTTTTGTTAATTTGATTATAAGTTTTTATATGTTTAATACTTAATATTATAATATAATTCAAAAAATATATTTTATGATAATAAAGAAATTAAATTAAAATTCCTTTTATGTCAAACTTATTATTTAATTTATATTGATCCTAATCCTGAAAAAATAAAAAATATGTTATCCGAGGAAATTTAGACATGTACAAAAATTGTAGAAATTTTATGTCCACTATATTTATGCACGAAATATTTATGCACGAATATTTTATTATATTAATAAAAATACTTTATTACAAGTAACTTTTTCCAAAATACATTATAGCATTAAAACATAGTATGTTGTATAGATTTACTTTTAATGTCTTCCTGAAACTTGAAGACATAAATAATTTCGTTTAATTTCACCGTCAAACTCATGTCTTTCATTATTGAATTCATCTTCATTACCATCATTATTTTCTTCTACATAAAATTCTCTTCCTTCTTCTATGAATTCTTCTATATCATTATCAATGCCTTCCAGGCAGATATTGTGAAGGATACAGGCTGCAATAATGAAAAATGGTATCAAATCTAGACGGGACATGTCCAAAAATTTTAATCGCCTGAATCTTCCCTTTAAGAGACAAAAACTTCTTTCTATAACTTGTCGTTTTTGTGACACTACTTTATTAAAGATCTTCTGTTCCTAAATAATCAGAATTATTCAGAAAGTAGAAAAATTTGGATATTTGTGTAGGCAAAATTATGTTTCTATTTCTTAAAGACTTACTTGTGTAAGATGTCCATTATTTCGAAATGGAGGAACACACCATGTTAAAACAGGATATGCTTTATCACCAACAACAAACTCGCCATTGGGAAAAAAAACAGATCGATCATTTTGAACTTCTCTAAATAAATCTGAAAATTCGATAGTCTCCTACTGATCCTGGATAACCTGCAAAGCAATCTGTGAAACGTAAATCTGCATCACAGACTGCCTGTAAAACTACAGCGTATTGTAATTTTCTACACTTATAATGAACAGCAACTTCCTACAAATAATTAATATTTACTTTTAAGGCTTTCATGGAAATTTTCTATACATAAGCTATATGTTTTACAAGTTATTTCTGTATCCAAATCTGTTATTAGAATGTCAATATTTCGTGAATATAACAGTTCACTTATTAGTATCTAGCTGTTTCTTGCTCTGATACTATAAGGAGTGAAGTGCAATGTTCATTTAGAAACGAGGATAACTCGCAAAACATATTATACATTCTAAGTATAATATATCAAAATATATTTTCTTTTCCAAATAAAACAGAATAATTTGAATCACAGCCAAATGTTAAAAGTAAAAATACCTCAGAATTTGGTTTCTTTATAAATATATAGCATCCATCAATACTTCCTACTACACCAGGCATAGGATGTTCTCCAATAAGCATGAATTTTTCCTTGGAAGTTGTCAATTTTTGACCCATAGGCCATCTAATAACTTCATTTCCAATGCTGTTCAAAGCTTGGACAACACGGCGGACACAGTCATTCAGAGAAGACTTGCCTAAATCAAACTTTTCACTCACAGATCTACAGAAAAGCATATGTATCTATTGTAGATAGATATTAATCAATGTTTAGTTATTTTTACATTCAGTGTTAAAATTGCCATATACCTAAAAGAATCTGGTGTACTAAGAAGCCAGATTGTTGACAAAAGCTGTATGCGCACAGATATGACTGGACGTCCTAAAGCTTCGGGATCAAATAATATTGGTCCTAGACGATTTTCCAAATTTTCAAAAGTTTCAGGCATCATTCGAAAATGATGTCGAAATTGTTTAGTAGTATAACGAGGAATTACATGTTCAACGTAACCTCTTATACGTGCAGGTTTCTGTTGTTTTCCTCGAATTCGTCGAATATTTTCAATTAAAGAGATCTTCTCATAATCTTCATCTTCACTTTCATCACTTTCGATTTCTTTCATAACATTCAAAAGTATTTCTGATAATCTGCGGCCAGCTATTACCGCAGAAACTAATATTTTATTTCGGCGCCTTCGGCGGACTGATTCAAACATTGTTGTTACCAATTGTTACCTCCTATGCGTTCGAAAAGTCGTGCTACTCTGATCGAGTTTTACGTTTATCCATACCCAACCTTACTCTACCTGACGAGTAGATTTCCGAACGCACCCCAGGTGGTGGGGCTTGACTCTGTCTTCCACCACCCTGTTGCATCGATGCCTCGTCTCTATGGAGGGGATTCTTACGTTCTAGAGTGCATGCACTATAGTTATGAGTACTATGAGTACGCTAAGTGCTGTGCTTACTTATATTTTAGTCTTAACCTTATACCACTTACTTATTACTTTAATATTTTAAAATTAGTGAGGGTCTTACGTTGTCGGATGTATTAACAATTGTCTTCTCTTAATTCTTCCCTATATCGCGATTGTCTATGCGGTTTCAGCTGTCTGCTGTTGTATACGTTACCGTCTTCTAGTAAGTAAGCATTAGGACGAATTATGCCTTCCACCCTGTATAGTCCTTCAAACGCTAAGTGAATTTTACGCGTGGTTCTGCGACTAGCATAGGATCGACGGTATCTTTCTCCAAACATATTCGCCTACTTGGTAAACTTGACCTGTTCCAAATTTGTTAAACTGAACTTTCTTTTTATTCGCAGCTCTTTCAAGAATTCTACTCGCGATTTCTATTTTGTCTACCCTATCAAACTCTTCATATTGTTCCGGTTTTAACACGGGATCTATTTCTAAATTTATTACGCCATCCATATGGAATTCATCTGGCGAAAATCCTGTACTTGAATGTGCCGTTGCGTTAATTACGGATTCTGTTATAATTATTATTCGATCCCAATTAGTATGTCTTTTGCTCGCGTATGTCCTAATAACGCGACCTAATTCGCGCATTGCCCTTTCGACTGGGTTACTCTGCGGGTTGTATGGTGTCGTTTTCCTTATTTCAAATTCGTTATCGTTTGCAAAATCATGCCATCTATGTGTTAGGAATTGACCTCCGTTATCCGTTAATATCGTTTCTGGTAATCCGACGGTTGGAAAGTAATCTTTCACTAAAATTGTCATTATTGTATTTAAAATTTGATTTTTCATTGGATATAATTTTGTGTATTTTGAAAAATGATCCATTAAAACGAGTACGTATTAAAATTTATTATTTTCAGATTGTGGCATAAATATCCATCGAAACTACTTTTCCTGGTGCATCTAGCAGTTCATAATATTGATCCCCTACCGTTGCCCTGGTATAGTACTTCGTAGCTTGACAGATCTCACAAGACGCTACTACGTCCCTAGCTATTTTATTTATGTTATCTATCCAAAAATATCGCTTCGCGAAATTAATAATTTTATCTGTTCCAAAATGTAAAAGTAACTCGTGGATCTTGTAAACTAGTTCCCAGCTTATTTCTGGTGAAACCATTATTCTTTCCGAGAATTCATCTCTGTACACGTCTGCCTAGCTGGCCCCCCCACCTAACTAAATCTTAATGAAAAAATTATGGAATAATGCGCTATTTATGCGCTATTCATATCCGCAAACAAAAATTTTTGCGCTCCTTCCGTTTAGCTAAAAAAAAAAATTTTTTGTGGAGGGGCTGAGTAGGCAGTCAGTCAGCCCCCCACCCATTAAAAATAATTGATTTGAAAAATTAAATACACAGGATTTATGCGCTATTTATGCGCTACTATTTCCAAGCGTTTTCGATTTTTGCGCTGCTACCCTTAAGGCACTTCCCTCTTGGAGCAAACAGACATATTCACCCTTAAATCGTTTAAAATTGCAAAATTAAATACTCTGACTATGCATAATAATTCTCTGATTTATGCGCTACTATTTCCAAGCGTTTTCGATTTTTGCGCTGCAACCCTTAAGGTACTTCCCTCTTGGAGCAAACAGACATATTAACTCTTAAGTCGTTTAAAATTGCAAAATTAAATACTCTGACTATGCATAATAATTCTCTGATTTATGCGCTACTATTTCCAAGCGTTTTCGATTTTTGCGCTGCAACCCTTAAGGCACTTTCCTCTTGGAGCAAACAGACATAGTCACCCTTAAATCGTTTAAAATTGCAAAATTAAATACTCTGACTATGCATAATAATTCTCTGATTTATGCGCTACTATTTCCAAGCGTTTTCGATTTTTGCGCTGCAACCCTTAAGGCACTTCCCTCTTGGAGCAAACAGACATATT